AGCGGTTCTCTTTCACCCACTCGCTTGATGTTCCTTGCCGGTCCCACCTAAAATCCCTTCTCAAATGTTCTACTCACAAAACTGACTTTGCATCCTACTCTTTTACAGTACATGCCATCCGCTTATGGAACTCGTTGCCAGCAGAAATCAGAGACGCCCAGACCATTTCTACCTTTAAAAAACGATTGAAGGAACACTACCTTTCTACTTGAAAATCTAAAACTTTGTTGCTTCTCCTAGTTTGCTTTTATTTATTTTATATTAATATTTATCAATTTATTAGTTAATATTTATTATTTATATATGTATTGTATGTTATTGTATGTATTGCATATGTATTATGTTATATTTATTCAGGAGCACACACTGACTGCCTTTTTCTATGTTCTTTCCTTTCGCGGGCCTGCTGGAAGAAATTTCATTATGAAATAAGCAGTGCCCTTGTACATGTCTCTTGTTTCTCTTTTAAGTAATATTTTATTGTGTGTGTACAAAATAAATAAATAAATAAATAAATGTCTCAAAAAAATAAGTTACATGTTAAAAAAATAAAAATTATAACTATAATTTCTATTTCTTCTTTCAAATGTTTAATACTTGTAAAGGTGTTCATGCGACATTGTGACTTGAACCTACAATGCGAAGAGATGGCGCTGCCTTGACGCTTAAGAAAGGCTAGAAAGAATTCGACACGGCTATCAGGGCCGCGGTAGCATAATGGTCAGTGCATTCGTCCGTATAGTGAAGGGTAAAGGAAGAGTAGGTTCGAGTCCCGTCTGCTGCCTGGAATTTTTTCTAGTATTTTTTTCTTTAGAATAATGAAAAAGTTAATTAATCGCCCTTCATATCCGTGCAAAAAGTGATTTAATTAAATAATTGGTGTGCGGGAAAGCATAGAAATAAATATATTTTTTCGTAGGTACTGCTGTGTGCATCCGGGGAGATGGGTGCACACCTATTACACAAAAATTCACAAAATGTAGCGAGTTTTCCTTTTACTCATACATATTATAACATAAACTGTATTTTTATTCTGCTTTAGTTTATGGTGTACGACAATCTGTCTATAAAGGTGATAAACATTCTCAGTAACCTTTTTAAAGAATGCATTCATAGTTGCTGAGTAGGTACGTAGATAAGGAGAACTTTGAATACAAACACTTTGAAAAAGGGCCTCTTGTGGTCCAAATTGATGTTATGACTAAAACACAGGAAGTCTGTCAATTTCACAGAATAAGCACATGAATATATCATCTGCTTAAATTAATATGTAAGTAAAATCCCCCGACTAAAAGGAGATCAGGTAAATAACCAGAAAATAATATTGGGTGGTGCCATCCCCTGCTTTTAATGAAATATATCCTCCTAAAGGATAACAATACATAGTGGCCATTAAGTATTTTAAATCGATTATATAATTGAAACGATAATATTTTGGTTACTTATTTTCATGTCAGAGAACCAATATCGTGGTTGTCAAAAAGATAACATGATCGGTCTATTAACACCGTTTTACAATACACCGTTTTTTAGGTTTGTGTTATGGGATATTAGGACAACGAATAGGTAGAACCGTAGAACTACAAAGTATTATTATTGTACATAGTTAAGTATACTTTTGTAGAAATATATATAAACAGTCATGATTTGGGAACCAATTCAAAAAATGCAATTCATCACACAAACTTTTGGTCCAACGGGACAGAAGCCAGGCAGGAGACCTCTGAGTAGGCGACGCCTTGAAAACCGGACTAGGTTCTCTTATTGGTTTGTGATAAGGTAAGTACATGAGGAGCTCGATGGCGCAAGTGGTTAGCGCGTTCGGCTGCGATCGTTGAAGTTAAGCAACTTTCGCAGTGGTTGATCATTGGATGGGTGACTAAAAATTTACTATCTCGAGCTCCTCCGTGCTTCGGAAGGTACGTTAAGCCGTTGGACCCGGCTGCATATGCAGTCGTTAGCACCCACCAATCCGCACTGGGCCCGCGTGGAGGGTCATGGCCCAATCTCCCTATTCCATCCATAGGGAAGGCCTGTGCCCCAGCAGTGGGGATATTAATAGGCAATGATGATGAAGTACATAGAATAAATCCTCTACCAAGAAGATGGAGGTTGTCAACTATTGTTCCCATCCTAAGTATATCTTGTCTTCCCTTTCTTTAAATAAAGGATGTATGATGTTTATTCTTTCTTGTTTTAAAATGGCTATGCATTTCGTATAAAGGAGAAGAATTGGCTGTTTTATGATTTTGATAAACGATTAATCTCTAGCAACGAAAACAAAAATATCGTTGAACTCTAGCAGTAATTGAGAATGTCTACATTATCTTTTTAAGTACCCACCTTTGTAGATTAAGATTAGATAGTTACCAAAAAGCAAGCGCGAGTCGGAAAAAATAGTGATAAAATAATAATGCCGTTTCTGATTTATATAAGGCGGCGCGTCCAAGGAGGATCCTGTTTTAATTTTGCCATTAAAATTACCCTGCCGTTTGCATTTCTGAAGATGGTGTTTTATCAACAAGGAAAACTTAACGTACCTTGTGATGGTTTCACAAGATATGTAAGTTTTTAAGATGGTAGGGTTTCTAACGATATCAAATATTAAAAAAAAAAAACTGTTCAGGCACTTCGAAGTTAGTCTTAGTCTTAGTAGAATGGCGGGCTGTTTCCGCAACTCGACACCCAGTGCCTACTTTGCGTGGGGATTGGCATCAGTCAAGCCATCCCAGCTCCTCCAGAAAGCTCAGCAGGCCCCGAATGTTGCTGCAGGCCTCTACTATTGTCTTCGGGCTTCCCATTAGAGAAGTCCTTTGTCTTGCAACGCCCCTGCACACCAATAGAACATGGGCGCTCGTCTCCTCGTCCTCCAGGCAGGTTCTGAACAGAGGGCTGTCAGAAATATTACAAAGGTGTTTGTTGAAGTAGCCGTGACCCGTGAGTATACCCACGATTTGTTTTAAGGCTTGTCTAGGTAGTCCGATTAACTTACGTGTTAGCTGCAGGTTTGACTTGGGAACGGCTTCCCTAGCTTGCCTGCAGTCCGTGAGTTTTGCCCAGTATTAGTCGTGTTGTCGTTGACAGCGCTCCCTTATCCAGGTTCGCAGTTGTTGATAGGGTATGGGTACAATTGGCTTCGGACCAATGGCCTTTCTGCTGGAACCTTCGCACTTCGAAGTTATCCTACCCTTTTATAAACCTTTTTTTTTCATGTTTGGAAAAGTGTGACCGCAAGTACCGGAACCTTGGCCCCACCCGGGAGAAAGATGAACAGGGCTCTGACGGCTCCCATGTCATTCCATCCAGCTCGTGGCCTCGATGAAATGACAGGGTCAAACACAGTAAAAACCAGACAATACTCCTGCACCGGTCCACAGCACTCACGCAATTTTTGTATACAGCAATACGAACGGGATTTTGGCAGGATAGCTGTTTTTAATGTTTTAAATTGTATTAAGCAACCCTAAAGACTATTCTATCTTATGATCCACGACTATTTCTATACAATGATAATACTTAAGTTACTACCCAAATTTTATATTTTATCAGATAATGAAAAGAACTATTTTAAAAAGGAATAAATTCCCTGAAGTTCTTTTAAACACCATACATGAATAGGGACTTTTTAGAGTTTATTCTTATAATTAAATACAACTTAAATATTGCTGGTATTATTGAATAAGATTTTTTTACTCTTTCGTGAAATAGAATCAAGTCTGCTGGAGCTATTTGAAAGACTTGCACTTTATGTGCGCCTATTAAATGGGGGTTCTACCAAATCCTTACGTTTATAAAGAACTTAATTTGAAATTGATGCATTTCTTTTAATGAAAATGTTTTAAGTACTTCAAGTTATATGATATACATAGGGTAGACTTGGGCCAAAATACATATTTTTAGGTGCCTAAAAACCAGTCCCTATAAATGAAAATTAAATTTTATAGAAAATCAGTATAAACTTGTGAAAATGGTATACTAAGTTCAAAATATAACATTACTGTCTAATACAAAAAAACAAGATTTGAACATAAAAAATATGTTATTAATTTGAAAATTACGGTAACAACGTTGACTTTCTTAGTAACGCAGTAGTTCTACGTACTAAATACCGTTGTCTTTAGGCACGTTTCTGAAGTATACTTCACAAATTCATATCATAATTCCTAGATGGCGTTTAATCTTAAATATTACAATAAAAATGTCAGCTTTGGACCTTATTACAATGCGAATACTTTTTTTTTTATATTAAACATTTAATGAAATAAAGAATAATTTAATCGGTATCCCCAAAAAAGAATAAAACCGTAACTACCTTGCGTTGTTTTATGATTTATGGTTCGACTTATTGTAACTCGTTTGTTATAAATGACAATAACTGCGCGGGGGGGCTACGTTAGCCAGATCTCATTATAATAACCTACAGCAGACAGCAGGGTTATGTCAGACTCTTATTGTCTAAAACACACCTGTGGAGAGAAGCTTATGGCCATAACCCCCTACAGGTTTCGTCTGATGCGATCATCCTCCGAGAAGGGGATGATGCAGAAGCAACGATGGTGGATACGATTTTATATTATCGTCAGGTCGTCGCGTGCCTTTACAACATATTAAAAATGCGATATTTTTCATGTCTGCGACTTGGACTAGTTAGACTGAAAGAAGGATTAAAAATTTATTACATTTTTGTTTTTTTTATATTAATAATATATAATTTTAATATCTAGAATACAAGATCACCTGTTACTCATTTACTTAGACAAGAAACATTAACGTATCTATGAAAAGGATTGTTAATATAATTGTGGAGATGTATTTGGAATCATTTATCGGCATACAACCAGGGTTTCGGAGAAAGAGATACTGAAAAAGCTCGTATTTTAATCGCTTGACAAACGTCAAAAATACATACTCAGTACTTTTTAAAAAGTATTTTTTATCACGGTATTTTTTTCGAGCCCTTTTTAAACGATCTGCTGACTCGGCCCATGAATGAATATATACGTGTTTGCATTTTATTGATAAAGTCAGTCGCCGCGTAGTGCCCAGTCGTGGCAGAAGTGCACTGTGTAGAGTCGGGTTTTTTTAGCGGCTGGTTTATTTACCTACAATAATATTATTCTATGTAACATAGTGCATAAGTTCTATGTGATAAAGAAATGATCAAAACACATAAGAAACTTTCATAAGTTGAATTTTTCTATTTATTGTTATTTTATATCGTTTTGAAAAAAAAACGCGCGTTCGGTAAGTACACATCAGCTGTTCCATCTCTACGATTTCAATGTAAAGTGTAAATTCATTTCCTACCGGTACATTGTACCCATCAAACTCTAGTTCTTCTTTCCTTAGTTGGAGTGGTGTATTGTATATTATTTGTAACTAAGTATACTTTCTTGACAACCTCCTTGGTGGAGTGGTGTATACACCTGTTATCAAGGTGTCGCCTACTCTGATGTTTTGGGTTCGAATCCCATTAGGGGCAAAATTTTGTGTGCCACGGTTGTTTAAACGATTTTGTACAAAAATATACTCACCTATATTACTATAATATCATATGTATTTTTATCCTTTAATGTACGATCCCGTAACTACATAGCTTAACACAGCCCATAACAAATCCTACATTTGCACAAGGCAAATTGTGGTGAATGTAAGAAACTTAGTTGTTATCAAGCAAGCGCTTAACTTGCTTTATAAAATTCAATGAGCTTTATAAGAAGAACATTTCCTCAATAAACGTAAACAAATGAACACCATTTACAGCTTGCGTGTTAGCTGTAGGTATGACAATGAAGAAGACAAAACGAGTTTTTAAACCACTATGTACTACATAAGTACATATTTTAATAATTACTTACCTATTACAGTAATCACGAGACTAACGCTTGATTGTTAACCTTAATAAGGACTACGTCTGAGAGGATATGTTTTTCTAGCTATAATCACACTAATAGTATAAAGGCGAAAGTTTGTGAGTGTGTATGTTTGTTACTTCTTCACGTCTAAACGGCTGGAGAGATTTTAATAAAATTCGGTATGGAGTTAGCTGACACCCTGGATTAACACATAGGCTTCGTTTTACTGCGGGATAATATCCCTAATATAACGCGGGTAACACCGCGGGGCACAGCTAGTTTAAAATAACGCTTATTTTATATCTAGATAAGTAACACAACGGTATTAAATATCGTCGAATTAACATAATTATTTACTAACACAAAGACGTTAATTTTTAATTGATATTTGATTAGTTTTATGCGTGTATATTAAGGTTTTATTTAAAACTTAGATACCTACTGATGGTTAATTTCCAATTTCTCCCTCCTGGTAAATGAACACTATGTGAGTTTGCCCCCAAAATACTGACCTACACTAACTTTTGTAAAAATATTAAACTGTATTGTAAGTAAACCAAAGTTTATTACCCTTTATTATATTAAAATTAGCATAGTATTAAGAAGTATGAATGTATTTACTATAACAACTCAAAAATAGAAACAAAACTCAGTTTTTTTGTAGTTTAAATAATATTATGTGAAATAATTTTATATAACTTTTCAGATACAATGGAAAAACGAAAAAGAATAGTGCAGTACATGGTAGCTGCAGCCGGTAAGTTGCAATTCAATAATTTTTCTAGTTTTTTTAAAATATCAAAAGTATTTTGATATTTTAGTTTTGGGTATAGAGATAGGATTTTATCCGGAAAAAACCCAAATGTGGGAAAAAATAGGGAAAATTTCCGAATGGAATAATATTCGGGATTTTTCATATTTAGTATATGTAACATCTAAGTAATGTGTAGATACATGTATATATCAAATGAGCATCTACCCTGATATACCTAGGTTTTTTCCCAAATGGAAAAAACCTGGGTATATTCCCGTTGGGTTTTTTTCCAACTGCCCATCTCTATTTGGGTATGACTATTTATAGTTATGATTTTATTTATTTTTTAAGTATTTAACTGCTAGATGTTTAAATCTAAAGAAACGTTTACTAGAAAAAAATCCACGCGGACCAGGCAGCGGACGGGACTCGAACCCGCATCCTTCGCTATCCGGGCGAATGCACTGACCAGGATGCGGGTTCGAGTCCCGTCGCTGCCTGGTCCGCGTGAATTTTTTTCTAGTAAACTTTTCTTTAGATTTAAACATCTAGCAGTTAAATTCTTAAAAAATAAATAAAATTATAACTATAATTGCTATTTCTTCTTTCAAATGTTTAATACTTGAAAAAGTATTCATTTTGACATTGTGGGTTACCTACAATGCGAAGAGACGGCGCTGCCTTGCAGCTTAAGGCTAGGAAAATTTCGACGCGGCTAATAGGGCCGTGGTAGCATAATGGTCAGTGCATTCGCCCGGATAGCGAAGGATGCGGGTTCGAGTCCCGTCCGCTGCCTGGTCCGCGTGGATTTTTTTTCTAGTAAACTTTTCTTTAGATATGACTATTTATTCCTATTTATTTATCAACGTAGGTGGGTGTTCAATTAATATAGTTAAACTTACAATTGAAATATGAAACGTACTCATCCAATTAATCGAAAGTTACAGTTAGTTACAGAAAGTTATTGTAGTTTTATTGTGCGCGTCATTCAATAATTGTATTTACATAATAACGATACCACTAATGTTAAGGATTACTTTTAAAATTTTCTTGAATAATTTGCAGTAAAATGTTAAAAAATAATACTCTATGGCCCGTATTACAGAATGACAACTAAGTGTTGATCTTTACTTGAGTACAGTAAGAAATCCCTTGCTCACTATGCTCAAGACTAGATCAATCACTGAGAATCATTCTATAATACGGGCCTTTAACTATATAAAACATAAATTAAGGATAGGTATCCGCGTCTTTGTCTGCCTAAAATGCTTGGTTTTCCATACAAAGTTTTAATCCCTTTTAAAATATATTTTCAAGACAGTAAGTTGGATAATGCGTTACTTTGAATCCTTCGTTTATCGTTTTTTCTCAAATTAATAACAAAACCAGTTCAGCTGATAATGCATTGAGATCCTTTCGCATTTTCAAAGATTTCTTGATGTTAGTTAAGTTCAGGATAGAAGATTAGAATTTATTCATTTTTGGTATGCCAATGTGAAACGTAATTACCGCTTCTACGCAGCTAGAGATGCTTCCAAAGTATTTTCCGTGGATCCCTTGAACTTTATACACTGACCGAAACACACAACACCACCAAAAGGCAGTGTTATTTTATCATAGTACCTAGTCTTCTGTAAGGTAGTTGAGGTTACTTCCCCAGACGGGCGCCCCATTTCGAGAGGCAAATCCGCTATGCCCTAACTCTCTTAAATTATTAAGCTTTTTCGTCTATTGTATGTTGGTACTTGGTATGTTATAGTTATCATTCATTATCAGCGCGGAGTTCCTGCGTTCGATTTATGAGAATAGAATTGCAATGGTACTTATCCAAAATTGTATTTGCTCCATATAGATTCAACGTAAAACTTAATTATTCAAAATTTGGGGTACGGTCGTTAATAGCTTAGTTAAACATAAGTGTGTCAGTTATTTAGAGCTATGATAAAGATCCACAATTTTTGTTAAGTGTTTTTCTTCTATTAGTAAACAGCAATTATTAAGGGCCACTTGCTTGTCCTTTTTTTTCATTTCATTTAAGAACTTTGGTTCAAGTGGGACATTCCAATGTTTTTATATCTTTGAAAACGGCTAAAAGGAAATCTAAGATAGACGAGACGCTGTATTTCTCTATTACAGTAGTACAATACAACCTAATTTTTCAGGATTAAAACCTGTAGGTGTCATCCTACTTACATCTTTCGGGTCACTATAATAGCTTGTTTATCAGCATTGTTCAGAGTTTTGTTGTCAATTATGCATTTTTTTTATTTACTACCAGTATCGTTGGCATCGATGACCTTAGGAGCGATCTCTACTTGGCCAACGCCGGTCATAGCGAAGTTCCATGCCAACGAAACGAATGAACACATTTCAGATGTAAGTCTCTTTATTCATGTTCACCTATTTTTAAAAGAGTGTTCAGAAATACTTGCCGCTATATCTTAATTTAGGGGCATCGCACTTTGGATGCGTATTCGTGCAAATTAATTATTTTTGTAAGTAAGCATTCGTGTCCAGGGGCGTATTTTAAAATAAATCTGCCATTTACGATTTGCACCCCCCCCCCCCCCCCCCCCCCGATTAGTTAATCGCCCCCTTGAATGACTTAATCCAATCAAATGAAAGTCAGTAACTTGCCTTTGGCATTCTCTACCGGTCAACCGGAAAGAACGTGCAGAGTCAATAAAACGTGCAGAGTTAATAAAACTTTATGTGACTTCTGCCGCCCCACGTAGCTAGCCATAACAAACCATGCGACTAAGTTTTTCTTAACGAAAGCTTTAACTTTTTTTAAAGTAGGGCAATAACAAAATTGAACAATTTTACAATTAAACGTGTCTATAGCGACCTATTGCTTTTATAAAAAAATTCGATTCTTAATTTCGGTTCAATATTTAGTACCAATCATATGTACCATATGGGCCCAGTGATTAATGGGTGAAGAAGCAGCCTGGATTAACGGCCTACCTTACCTTCGAATGAGTAGGAGACTAGGAGAGGAAACTTTTCATACGTCTGGTAATTTTGAAAATTTTCATCGCTTACTACCTGCACACTTACTACCTGCTGCGACATAGAGTTACTGTTAACGCGGCTACATATCAAGTTGGCAGATCTATGAACTACCTATAAACCAGAGGAGCCTCTTGCGTTGTGGGCTAGAGTCTAGCCCATGTAGCACCGTTATGCATATTTCATTACCTTCACGCGTCAAAATAGTATTTTGGCATGTGGCGCACGGCGTGTGGAACGCACATCCTACACCATATAGGTAAAGCTGCCATTGTGTATAACAACGTTGTTTTTACAGAAAGAGATATCATGGATGTTGGCAATGTCATCCCCCGGGTTCATAGCAGGGAGTGTAGCGACCCGCTATATATCAGACGCCTATGGGAGGCGAACTACTGTACTCGGAAGCTCGATCCCCATGGTTCTGGGCACAGTAAGTTGTTAAAATAATGATTCTCTTTAAACACACATTATTGATAGTCTACTAATGTCTCCACTGTTGGAGCACAGAACTCTGTAACATTTATACATCGAGTATTTGGGATAGATATTTAAGAGAGGTCTGCCCCTCTACCATGACCACCGAAACGGGATATGATAAAGCTTTTTATCGAGTCTCAACTGTCAAACTCCACTGTAGTCTGACAGTTGATGCTAATATATCGCTTTAGCATATCCGGTTTCGGTGGTCATGCTAGAGGGGCTTAGAAAGGGAAGTAACCTACACCTTACAGAAGAGTACAGTAAAATAACAATACCTTTTGGTGGTGTTGTGTTTATGTTCCGGGGCTCCAAAAGGTTAGGGGATTAGGTTAGAGTAGGCAAGGGCGCTAGTGATATTTTTTTGTATACATAAAAATAAGATTAGCTTATGTCCCATTTGAAGCTTGCGTTAGCTTTGAAGGAATTCGCGGAAAGAAGGTTTGTCAGACAGTCTTTCTTATAGACAGATTCATTTAGGAAAGCGGCCACTTGAAACCCGCTAAACAAACTCAGAGCTTTCTAGCGCGTGCAAACGACTGCAAATGCTGCCGGGGCCAACGGCTTAACGGCTGAGCTCGAGGCAATAAATTATGGGACCTGGGCAATGATATTTCATACCCGTGGGAATTTCGAAACTTGCTTAACTTCCGCAGCACAGCAGTCGCTGACCGTACGCGTTTACAAAACCAGTTCGCCATATTTCTCCTCCAAGATGAAAATGTTTTGCATGTAAAACGCTGTTAAATGCTATTTATTAAGTATTTAAATGCTTACTGTACGCTAAGTATTAGTTAGATACGCAAGTTAGTTTCACTTTTTCCAACAAAAAAAAAACAATTGTTATCTTATACATAACAACTGTTGCTGATTTTAAAGTTTATATGGCACTAGCCCCACGGTTTCACAAGAGTTAATAAACTGACTGAAATAATAATACCTATGTAAGTTTGATTTAATCCTGCAATAGCTCCAATAATAGTATTAATTATAATAATAAAAATGGAGAAATTTTTATTTTCGCGTTAAAGCTGTGCACGCAACAGAGGCTCTCAAAAGGAATAGGTATTGCAAAAAGTTAAATTGATGTTCCGCTTCTATTTGTTGTAGCGTGATATTTAATAAATAATACACAGTCAGGTCATAAGTATTGTCACACAGTAAAAACTTTTGTTTTAGAATGCTGGCCACAATAAAGTTTATTGAATTCGAATTTAGAATTGTTCATGAAAATAAAAATATATACTTTTTAGAATTTTACTCATTTTTAAATAGTGGACGCCTAAAGAAGACCGTGTTGCAGTTATTACGTCGCATCGTTGCGGTTACGCGCCAATTCAAATTTTTGACATACTGAAAAATTTGAATATAACCAAAAGATTCGTTTATCGTACCATCAAACGATACAATGAAGACTCTAGTGTAGATGACAGGTCAAGAAGTGTTCGCCCTCGGTCTGTTAGGACTCCAGCAGGGATAAAAGCTGTGAAGGTGCGAATTCAAAGAAATCCCAAACGTAAGCAGAAACTGTTGGCCCTTCAGGGGCAGAACCACGGTGAAAAGGGTGTTAAATGAAGACTTAGGCCTTCGGGCATATCGAAGAAAAACAGGACATCGTTTGAATGCTGAGACTGAAGAGATGCCGCGCTTTGTTGAAGCGGTACGCGGGAAAAAAATATCGAGAAATTCTTTTTTCGGATAAAACAAATTTTCACCGTAGAAGGGAGCTACAACAAACAAAATGTAAGGTGTACGCACACAGTAGTGAAGAAGCGAGCAAACCGTATTCCGCGTGTCCAACGAGGACATTGTCCATCCTCGCTCATGGTATGGTTGGGAGTTTCTTATTGGGGCTTAACAGAGGTACATTTTTGTGAGAAAGGTGAAAAAACGAATGCAGTTGTGTATCAAAATGCAGTCCTGACGAACCTTGTGGAACCTGTTTCTCATACCATGTTCAATAACAGGCACTGGGTATTCCAACAAGATTCTGCGCCAGCTCATAGAGCGAAGAGCACACAAGATTGGCTTTTGGCGCGTGAAATCGACTTCATCCGGCACGAAGACTGGCCCTCCTCCAGTCCAGATTTGAGTCCGTTAGATTACAAGATATGGCAACACTTGGAGGAAAAGGCGTGCTTAACGCCTCATCCCAATTTGGAGTCACTCAAGACATCGTTGATTAAGGCAGCAGCCGATAATGACATGGACCTCGTTCGTGCTGCGATAGACGACTGGCCGCGCAGATTGAAGGCCTGTATTCAAAATCACGGAGGTCATTTAGAATAAACTTTATTGTCATAAGAATCTATGTTTTGTTAAGATCATTTTGATATATAAATGGTTACATAATGAATAAATTTGTTTCAATTATTTTATATTAAACATGTGACAGAATTTATGACCTGACTAGGTGTATGTAGTTATATTAGTAAGCTGGAGTGTTTATTTGATCCAAGTTCCGAAAAAGCCATCAGGGATTTTGTCATCAAGTGGTAAAAAGGCCCTTAGAGTTTTATCTTAATATTTGATTTTGTTACAGATACTAGTACTATTTTCACTGAAGGCATGGGCACTTTACATGGCAAGGTTCCTGTGGGGTTGGGGCACCGGAATGATTGGAACGGTGAGTGTTCTTTAATTTAAACTACACCATTAATGATGCATTTCTCTCTTCATCTTACATAATGAATTGTTCAAAATCGGCAGTTATTTAAAATACATTTGCATTTATACGCGGTGGGAGTATTTTTATGGGTGCGGGACCACACTGCTTGTTTTTAACAATTACTTATTGGCGGACATTGCCGAAAAAGTTATCAGAAATTACCAAAAAACTATGATTGACAGTGTGCGTTAGAAAACAGTAAGATATTTGTTTCTTAGATTTTCACGCACATCACTCATTAAATAAAACTACTTTTAACGTTTGGTTAATGCACGAAATTTATTTAATTATTAACGTTTCGCAGCCTTTTTAGGTCTGCATCGTCAGAATCATTATTCCTGAAAAGGCTGTGAAGTGCTAGTTTTATTTAGTATTAGTAAGAGTTCATACATACTTGGAAATAAATATGACTGGTAAATAGTGTTTTGTTTGATCAAACACAATGGAATATAAAATAGAATGGTCAAAGAGAACCATTAGTGTATGGAACAAATGTGTGAACCAATGTCACGTACAACACGTATCCACTATTTCGGCGGGTCTACCATCGTCTTTACTCCTAGGAGTCTTCTCTGTACACAATTCTTAGGAAGAGTTTTAAAACAAGTGCATACAGGTTTAATGTTTCTTACCAACGCCATTGTGGTTATTATTTCGTTTAATAATTTATGTGGAAAAACCCAAAAAAAGTGTGAGTATTCCTACTGAATTCAAAATTTAATCGAAAATGTTAATGATTTATGGAAATGTAGGTACAATTGTCTCTTGTCCATTAGTTGTACTTATCGGTTAAACGAAGTAATCATTTAGTTATATATCACACTTTTATACTAATTACTCTTGATATGCATAATCTAGTGTTTAACCATATTGCAACTGTGTCAGTAAATAATGTATTAATTTTTGTGGTGAACTTATCAGTACCAGTTAATAAATGCGGACCTCCATGTGACACTGCGAGTTGTCATGATGATCCTCTTCTTTTCTACCTGTACTATTATTTCGACTTATTGACGGAATTATAGCTCACAGCCAATGACGTATATTCGAGGCACTGTAAAAGAAAGAAAAAAAAGACATGATAAAGACTTCTATTTCCGATCATCTTCTTATATCTGACATTTTATCTATCTGATTGACTTGACTACACAAAAGAATGAATAAAAAAAATCTTAGCCAAACTATGCCTTTTTGATTTCAGGTGGTCTCGATGTACTTGGCAGAAATAGCAGACAAGGATTTAAGAGGCACCCTTTCTGTTGGCACTAGGTTCATGTTTAACTTCGGCACTCTCCTCGTGATATCAATCGGCCCTTTTCTGTCGTACACGGTCTTAAATCTGTCTCTTCTGGTACTGCCACTGGTGTATTTTATTGCCTGCTGCTGGATACCGGAGTCACCGTACTATTACCTGAAGGAAGGGAGAGTGGAAGAAGCCCGAAGAGTGTTGTCCAAACTAAGGAGTTATAAGGATAGCAAGGTGAGATATTGTTGGGTACAAAACTTGAAAACATGGTACTGCAGTCTAGTTATATCAAATTCTTAGAAATTAGTTAAATAAAAATTTTAAAATTCAAAAGTATTAAATAAACAATTTTCAACCGGCGGAGCTTAAGCGATTGTAGGTTTCGGTAAATTAAACTCTTTGATGGTCAGTTGAGGAATGTCCTTTTATTCGAGAAAGCATCTTAGATATACAAAATTTGCTGCTACAGAGCTAAGAAAATCTAGTCTTATAAAATTAAGCCCAAGGTGCTTTGTCATTTATTTAATCTTTTATCATAAGAATATCGTAGGTTAATACTGTATTGGAGAATTGATCGCTAACGTCACGTTCAAAAAGTAGTAAGGTGCCTGTTACTTTTATATAGATAGTTTAGAAGTTTAGAGATTAAAATCTAAGACCCACTTGTATAGTTATAAAACAATAGCGCATGAGTCAATAATGAAGTTACATTATATCAATACTAACCTATTGATGTCCCTGTTGCTAGGGCATAGACCTTCCGTATGGATGGAATAGGAAGATTGGGCCATGACCCACCCAGTCGCGGGTCTAGTGCAGATTGGTGTGCCAACGACTGCAGATGTAGCTGGAATCAAAGGCTAACGTCTCGTCTAGAGCTAGAGGAAGGAGAGATAGTTAACTTTTGGTCATGCACCCAATGACCGGCCATTATGTTTGTAATGTATTAAGTTGTTGAACTTCTACAATACAGACCGAACGCGCTAACCACTTGCTCCTCTTAAGCTTCTCTGCATAATTTGAGTCACATAACTACATTTAATTTCACGGGGGCTTGTTCCAGGCTGTGGAGGATGAATTGATGGTGATGAAGTCGTCAGTGAGCACCGAAATGAAGCGTGACAGCTCGGTGAAGGAACTACTGACCGGTGACCGGTATCGGAAGGCTGTAGTTATCTCCGCTGGTAAGAAATAACGCTAATATTTCAATACACAAGTTTTATCGTTCATAGTAATGCATCGACACCTTTACTGTACGCAAACCAATACTAACTTTTGTTTCTAAAGAAAATTCGGCAAGTAATATTTTGCCTTCGGTAGGTACGAAAATCTACCAGTTTATTAGAACTAACTTTTTAAGCTTTGTTTTTTATAAGTTACAAATTAAACAGGCTTCATTTTAATAGCATTATTCGCCTCTAATAAATCTAAATTACTTACTTATAAATTAAAAGTCAGCCACAATCAACGCGCATCTGAATAATACTTATTTTAGCCGCTAGTTATCTTCTATGCATGGTGCTATTTATTAGCATCAATTCAACATAACATAATATATTCAACAGACACTAACATGTATTCAAGCAGTAAACTTCTAAAATATAAATATACAGCACAAAAATAGTTATTCAATTAGCTTCATATAACTCAGTACGTTAAAAATATAAATCATCTTACATTAATAGATCGTTAAATATATCGACAATGTATCATCAAATAGTTTATTAAAGGCGCTATTTCTTAAAAAAATAGAATATTGTCCGTCGATTTAAGATCCGGTAGCGGGTGAGGGAGGAGAGGGGATTACCCCCTACCTCTCCCTGCGTGCAAAAGTATAGTTTCTGAGACATTCATGGTTAAATTTTTGGGGTTAGGACTGTACTAAAAGCCATTTTTCGGCCCACGGCCCACGATTTTAAGTAATTGGGAAGGAAAAGGTAAAGGGGAGGAATCTCCCCCAAACCGAAGTTGATTTTCCACCAAAACAAACACATATTTTCAAAGATAAACAACCCTCACTCCGTCAAAGTTTCTTTTTCTAACACAAACGTAACCTAACCTAACTTAATTTTAATATGGACTTAAAGGTAATGAAATAGTTATTTATTATACAAGAGTGGAAAGTTCCTTTTTAACCGCGTGCTCGATTTGGATGACCGAGCAAGCGAAGGATTCTAAAGTTGAATCACGAGCGCAGCGAGTGATTCTAAATTAGAATCCTGAGCGTCAGCGAGGGAAACAAACGAGCACAAGGTGAAAAATCTTTCCACTCGAGTGCAATACGTAACTTTTCATCCCACCTCAGCGAGGAAATGACAAAATGAAAAAGAAAACAATTTATAATGACAAAATATTTTTATTTCAATTAAAACACATTAAGATAATCTATAAATTGAAGAAAATAATAAGAAGTAGAAAATAATTAAGAAATATTAAATGTAACGTTGCTACAGTTACTTATGTTAAGTTTAATATTTTTGTTAGGTTATGTTATGTTGGTGTTTGTGAATTGTGCGCTGTTTTGTGGTAAACTACTCGTATCAGTAATTTTAAATAGTTGTGCCGATTCATTGGATTCTATTGGCGTAAATGTTGGCGAGAGAGGGCTATTGTTTCCAATCTTATGGGGGCTCATTTTAGATGTAGAAGGGCGAGACCAAGAATCTGACAGAGGTTCTTTCAGCGTTATGGCCTCCACGATACTATTACAAATTTTTGATTTACTTTGGATTGAATCCTCTATGTATCCCTCTACAACCGAATTAGACTTCCAGCCTCCATGGCGCTTAAGCGATAGAAGATCAGCCCCTGATTCGGCCAAAAGTGTGGCTGAGGTTCTTCTAAAACAGTGACCGGTGTATAACGGGGGTTCTAAAAGTCCGAGAAAAGTTGCTATTTCTCGTGGAATACTGCCAATTTTATTCTGACCCATAGGTTGTCGGATACACTTTCCGTTGCGATATTGTAGAAAAAATCGTTCAATTGGGGTGTTAGAAGGACGTAAAGCTTGATATTTCTGAACAATGTTTACATATTCCTTGCGAATAACGAAGTTGCGGTCTTTTTTTGTCTTGGTATTTAGTACATTAATTAATAGCAATTCATCAGAATTATGAGAATATTTTGATACGTTATTGACATTAAGTAGTGTAAGTTCATTTGTTCGACATGCTCCGGTTATACCAATAATAAGAACAACCTGTAACAAAAGAAGTATTTATAATCATAAATAAATTAATCAAATTAAAAATATTGTAAGTACTATGTACAATTTTATCAACAACAAAAAATTACACGTATTGACTTACTTTTGCCGCTAAATATACGGAATCAGGTGCTTCATTAATAAACTTTGCAATTTCAGATGCTGTGAAAACCTTCGATTTTTTTGGTTTATAACCAGATGAGGCTCTTTTTAAAAATGCCACTAATTTATGATAGGTGTCGATATGAACGTCTTTCTTCATCTTAATTGTTAATTTTAGCATTGAATACGTACTCCATAGCGTGCTTGCTTTCTTGGTCTCAGATAATTCTATAAAATATGCCAGCAAAACGTTTTCGGAGAAAGTTTTTGCTCCTTTAGCTAGTCGCCACATGTTAAATATATCGTACTGTTTCAAATACTTCTCTCGTGATTGCTGAGGGAGAAGGCTCATTTGCGCATTATTAACTGTTTCAGTTAACTCAGTTGGCGTTAGATAAACTTCATCGTCGCTAATGTCACTCATTTTAGTTGATTTTTTTGTACAGTTTTTAGGTTATGTTAATTATATTAAGCAATAAAACGTGAAAAACTAGAATGGCGCGAAGCACGCAAATAAAACAAAGAAACCAAGAAGGTTCCAAATTTAAATTTTTTCACAATTTAAAAAGTTCTAATCATAAATTTGGCGCCATAGAGGTTACATTAAATAGGTTTAATGACGTTTTGAATTTACAATTATATTGAGTACTCATTATATGTGATGTTCTAAATTCAAATCTACTTTGCCGCTCAAGCGAATAAAATAGAATTTTCCAGCCAGATTTCGAAGCGCAAAATTACACTTTCCGAGGTGGTGGGATGAAAAGGATCTTTTTTCTGGCGCTTCGCCTGCCGCTACCGCGACACGCTCGCTTGACATGCGCGTCATGGTCGCAACACTAACCTAACGTAACCTAACCCAGTAATTTTCAATTAAAGTGAAGTGACAACGTTATTACTACCTACTAAAAGCTTAATGAAAACTTTAATGTAATTACAGATGAAACAATTGATTAGTGCAAATGGGCGGTCGATGCAAATCGTGCAATGGCAATTTTGAGGAGCTTGTGTTGAAGCTGTAAAACGTAAAATGTTGATGAGTTGTAAAATCCGTGGCAGAGTTAATAAATTACATGGCAATATGTAAATCAGAAGGACAAGTAAAAGTTATTGTTGATCTTTACTTGACGATTTCCTTAAAATATTTAGTTGGCGTTATAAAAAAGATAAATTAGTTTATAAGAAGCTAACTCATTTTCCCGTGGCTTAGTTATAAAAAGAGAACAAAAATTATGACGTGACCAAACAAAAATTTTGTGGCTGGACTTATTATTACTGCATTTAATATTTGCGGCCTGTGATTTCAATTCTTTATTATGCAATGTGCTAAACTGATACAAAAATGCGATGTTTGCCAATATTAGACGTTCCTATAGATAAGATACATAAAGATAAACTTAAAATTCTAGGTATTCAGAGTACAATACATCATGTGAACAGTATTCGCTTGTTACACTATCGGGGATATTGACTGACAACGAGACCAATCCATTCGAAAAATGATTTCCTATCTAGAATATAAGTGAGAAAATGTAGATTTAGAGACACACAGGTTAGGTTTTTTTAATCTATTCAACGCATTGGTATAGAAGCGAAAGTGCCTAAACTTTCGTTTTAACAGTTGAATAATATTGGTATGATTTTAATATCGTAAGCGTCCTAGTGCGCCATGTAAAGCACAATGCGCCGCCTGTCTGCCTGCCGTACGTTGGCGATAATTATGTCCGATATAAATAGTTGACTGGCAGCGCGTAACAAATAATACTGTACTAACTTGCTAATCACGCCTATTGTTATCGAGCTTGTTTGATTGCTCACTGTGCGAATTCGCGTATTTATTAAGTGTAATCATATTGCAGACTAAGCCAAATCGCTTGAAGAAACATTTTATCTGTTACTAGAGGTATATGCTCTGTGGTTATTAATTTCAGAAAAAAGGTTATATTAGGCCACCTTTAAAAGGTAGACAAATGCCTTCGCAGACTTTTTTTAAAAAGAACTTTTAATGGGGAACTATTCCGTCATACATGATTTTTCTGTAACTTTTACCGTTTACGCAGCTCACGCAATGGAAGCTATCAAATGGAATATTTATTTTCCATTTTTGCAACAATTTTTATTGATGCTCAGCTCCTGTTAGTCGTAGTGTTAGATATATAGCCTATAGCCTTCCGCGATACGTGCACTATCCAACATACAAGTATTTTTTACAATCAGAGCAGTAATTCTTGAACCTGACGTTCAACCAAACAAACAAAATCTGCAGCTTCATAATATTACTAAGGATAGTTTCAGGCGCTATAAATCTGCCATTATAATAAATAATAATAAAAACGTTTATTTCTGAAAAAATAAATACAGCTTTCGGAACAGAATTTCCGGTAAGTATTATAAATACTTGTAGTGGAAATTCTCGCTCCCCCTAGATCAATTACCTTATGATTGCTTTTATCTAAAAAAAACAGTTTTTTATATTATTCAAAATAGTGTAAACTAAGGGTCGAAGTTTTCATTAAAGAGATCTCTTAATAGTCTTAGTATGTACTGACTGAGCGAAACAAAGTGAGCTGCCAAAATGCTCTCATTACGGGAGGTTATGGGCATAATTCTGTGTAAAAAGAAAAAAGGAGCATTTGATCATCTATTTAGTTATGTTAATATCGTACAATGTTTTTTGTTCAGATTAATATGAGACAGAATTTACTTCGTTATATTTGAAAAAAGGTTACTAGACAGTCTGTAAAAATCTGTTTTAAAATTTGGGCTACATTTAGCTTTGGTACTGGTTGGTAGTGTATGAATCATATAATATGGAATCTATGGGAAGTCTAATGAATTATAAAACAATATCTTCGATCAAGGATCGCGCAGCAAACATGACGAAGGCGGATTGTTCTTGGCCTGTTACAATAACATCCTTAGTCTAAATAAGTCATTATACCATACGCAAGTCAACACGTGTGTATATAATCTGTTGACGAGCCAAGAGATTACGAGCATTAACATTGTAAGCTATATATTGACCTTTTATTTTAATTAATACCTTATATTATGTCGTAATATTTTGCGGAAACGTGGATTATTAGATAAATTACATTTTAGATAAAGCGAAAAAAGTGTTCAACACTTGGGGCGTACACCCCAAAAATATAACCATAACCTACCATCAAGTACCTACTAGAACCAATTAGTTGCTATGCAGCTACACTGAAAAAAGTTTTGAGTTGAATATAACAAAAAAAATGTTACATCTGTTACATAAAAATAGTGACTACATAACTATAGTTAATAGTAGACAAACTCGGTTTTGTTAAAATAGTTTTGTTGTTATAACAAAACAGTATATTTGACTATAACAATACATTGTTATGTTACAGATTACCGAAATCGAATTTGACAGCTTATAAGAAAATGGTTACGTAGTTTTTAATTAAACTCAAATATACCTAATAAAATGTCAATAGTTTAAAACAATATTAATAGATTTACTGGATAATAATATAAATCATTAAACACGAATAACTGAAACGATCATGTAAAATACAACAGAACAGTCTATGAGTGACTGAAATTTATTTATTAGTAAACAAAGTTTTACCGATGAATACATCGGTGAACACAACTAGTTTTGTAAATTACTTCTTTCAGTGTAGCATATGATCGGGCGCTCTTTTATAGAAAAGACTTTTATCCTTCCAAAGACTGGTTGCTATCAAGATTTTTCAGGGTTTTCGCACCATCAACACCCCATTTGCCATAGCCCATAACCATAGCACAATTGACACTATTACCTAATAAAAATCTAGCCACCGCCGATATAGAGAAATCCAAAATTACACACACTTCGCAATTTTTAGCCCACAACATTCCTATCAAAACACCTACCCCAATTAGCCAACTCCCTCATCCCTGTAACAGAGCCGGTATAGAATTCCACGAAGCAATTAACCAAGAAGGAATTAATAAAAATCACCTCAGAAATTCCATTCCTCATCTTCACTGACGGCAGCAAACATGACGACAAGGTGGATACGGCTTTTGTTATCAAAACACCCAACGGCACTCACCATTCCTCAAACTTCACAGCTGCTGCTCAGTCTAAAATACTTTAACATACAATTTTAAATCGTTGTTGATCCTAAACAGTCATATAAAATGAAAAATGGTGTAAGGAACTTAAATATGATTTTCGATCATCTAGACAATGATAACTCGATAATTATATTTCGTCAACTTATTTTTTTGTTTTTCACAATATGGCGCCTAATTGTCCCCTTATTTAATTTCGATTACTATCATATCTTTAGTAGCACTCCCATGATTAAGTGGAACCGATTGACGAGTTAATCATCGACGTAAGCAGAGCCGACTTTACCATTTTCTAGTTTGCTTCCGTCGGTGTAGATTTTCGATGCCTCGGGACAGCAAGCGTCGTTGATTTCGGTTTGAGGTTAGGTTTCCACCGTTCACAAACATACATACATATATAGACTGTTAAACACTATAACCCGTCTGCGCGTCGCGCCGCGCCGGGTAAAAAGCGAAGATGGGGTACGCTCATACTAGCATCAAATAAAATATGCTCCGATTCAGCTACATAAGCAACTCTTACACAAATGTGCTGCGAATGCAACGAATAAGCTAATTCATTTTGCGAATCTTATAAGTAATCAATAATAATTTATACTTATTAAATCATTGATAATGCCAGTCAATTCTGTTAGATTCTTTTGTCTTGATCTTCCAGGCCTCAAGCTGACTCAGATCATGACGGGCGTGATGACAGTGCAGCAGTACCTCGGCCGCATCATGCAGGACACTCAGACAGACATCAAGCTTTCCACTGTGTTCATCATCTTTGGCGCAGTCAGGTTCCTCATAGGTTAGTATTAAATTCACATTTTGTTTTTGATTTTTTCCATCGCATTGCCGTTCTCAAATATCTTTGGGGCCAGCGCAACATGTTCTCCTTGCGAGTGCCAACATTATTCACTCATTTCTTACTTACAGTTTATCCATTATTCTTGCCTGGATTCCTTTTCAAATCCATATTTATGTTCATTACTTTTTTGTCATATGATTTTATTTATTTATTTGTTTATTCTAATTACTACGGCCTACTATTTTCTTTCTTTACTTTAAGCATACATCCATGACTTTAAGTGATTGATTATGATTCTCTGATCCATAGAAAAATACCGATAATCCTCGACACCTGCAAGGAAATTGTTTCTTAGTTTTTGGCGATTCTGAGTTTCAAAGATATTCTTACTTCTTGTTAAGCAAGAATCCTTATCTCCATAACAAAATTCCATGCCTTTAATGTGATACACGCATAAATAATCACGAATATAACATCCGATTTTTATTACACAAAATAATTAAGAAATAAAGAATAGTTACAATGGTGTCGATTTTAGCATGATTCTCAAATTTTAAAACTAAATTTACTATCAGTGTCATCACTGTCGTCAAAGTTTAGGTTTCGATAATCATGCCAGAATCAAGAGCACCAATGTTATTTATTATGCATGCGCATATATTAAATTCATCTATTTAATCAAACAAAAAATGAACCCCGCCTTGTTTATTAAAATTTACATGATTGACTCACATTATAATAATTTTTTTGGCTTTTTCCAATAATTTTAGTTTTCCATTTTATTTAGAATTTTAGACCTAAGAACTGTTATGACTTATGAGTGACCAAGAATTAGAGCCAGACAAAACAATTTTCGGTATAAGGCATTATTTTAGAAAAAAATCTCAGAAGCATTTTTTTATATTTTCCAGGTATAATGTCATCGGTCCTGGTGGACCGTGTCGGAAGGAGAACACTTCTCATCTATTCCTTCTTCAGTACAGCATTTTGTCACATCGTCGTCGGTTCGTACTTCTTCTGTCAGGAGGTGCTTAAAATCGACCAGACCCTCCTCACCCCTTACGGGTACGTACCGTTCATAGGTATCCTTGGCTCCAGCATAGTATCCACACTTGGGTACACTTCAATTATTTTCGTCATATTCGGTGAAATATTCCCAATGAACATAAAAGCTGTCGCCATGAGCTCTATTAGCATCTACGGCGGTATACTAGGTTTCATCATAGCTAAAGGCTACCAAGAGTTGAAAGACTTGGCGGGATTGTGTGGAGTGTTCTGGATCTTCGCCGTGATCGCAATCATCGGCGCCGTGTTCACTATAGGTTTTGTTCCTGAAACCAAAGGGAAGAGCTTGAGAGAAATACAGATTTTGTTGCAAGGTGATATTTACAATGAGACTGATGATAATTTAGGAGAAGTTGTCAGTAACGTTGACACCAGCAAGGATACGGAGTTGCAAGAACTTCATATAAACGAAAAAAGTCGTTGACAGTAAAATATAAATATTTAGTAACAATGTGTGCTCCGCATTTGTTTTCTTCATTGATCTCTGTGCTCCATATTGTTAGTTTCATATATTGTATTTGAGATCAAGTGATTCATTAAAATAAGAGATTTGATAATACAATAGTAGATTATTAACCAAGGGGATAAAGCAGTGTCTTCTGTCGCGGGTGACGATTTAAATCGAGAGCGTAACGAGGGTGTTAAAAACTTAAATCACGAGCGAAGCGAGGGATTTAAGACGAGTCCTGAGTGTAGCGAGAGATTTAAGTTCACCCAAGACTAAGACAGCTTTATCACCGAGGAAAATACTATACTTTTCGTACCATTTGCGAAAAAAATAACACAATAATAATATGAGATAAGCATTTATTAAAAATAATGACAATTAAAAGTAAAAGTTAACATTCGAAACATTGGTCCAATTAAATACGGCCTCGTCGGTTTTCGTAATTTTATTTAATAAATCATAAGTGCACAATAAATGCGTATTCCTTTTTCAAAAAGATGTATAATGCTTTATATACAAACTCAATGGTGTAAACACAGATGTAGTTCAGTATAAATTTCGGTAAGTATTCCAAATTTAAATCACATTCTCCCCCTAGAGGATGAATGAAATGCAGTACAGTTTTCTTTCCCTGTTTTTAACAGATTAAAAATGACTATTGTTATGTTTGCTTTTTGTGGCATAGAATGTCACTTTTTTGAGCAAGTGGTACGAAAAATTACATTTACTGTAAGAATAAAATTTATATCTCGGATATCTTTATATTATTTTTGAAGTTATACTTCTTTAGGCGCGTTATGAAAAACTGATGAGAGTGAAATTTTAAGATGCGCGCGCATCACTGTAACACAAAAGTAACACCATGAAGTTGGCCGCTAAACCGCACAATTAAGTCTCGAAAAAAGCTACCAATAAAATAGAAATAGAATCTCTACTAGTCGCACATGTTGGCACGCTCGTCGCCTCTGATCACTGTTTTCATATTTATAATATTTTTCCACAAGTTTCTATATTCACAACACGTGGTTTAGTTTCATACAAGTGTTAATTATATATGTGCTAATAAATAATATTCAGTGCTTATTTAAATTGAATATATTAATTATTTATTTAATTTTTCAATTTAAAACGGACTTTATTGACTGCGTAGACTATCCTTTTCCAGTCCTTTTATTATATTATTATAATTAATTATTTGCATGCCATTTAAAACTATTTTTTAATGATGCCAAAGAAGTATAACTTCTCACGCGCGTACGCAAGTACACGCACCCATTTTTTTATATAGAGTATACCAATTCCGTAAATAACATCCATAACTATAAGGTAATCTTTATAATACTTAGATCTCATTAACAAGTAGATTATATTAAGACTATAAGTTATAATAATCCTAATTAAATATATAAATCTTTCAAACAGGGTAAGATTAGTTATATGTCTAACCAAAAACTTTGTTTAATTCACTGCATTTTTATTAGAATTTATTTGGTAGGCACATATTAACGCGTCTGTCTATTATTGTGAAAGTATAGCCGATATCAAGATTATTAGTGTTTGATACAATTCTACACGGACATAACCTATAATAAAAATTCAATCAAATCATTTATTCTGCAAGTAACATGGCACTTATAATTAAAATGTAAAGTGCTTCATGCTAGCAGTACACGCTGATTGCCTTTGTTTGTATAAATCTTCTTCTACTGCGGGCCTGAAGAGATTTCAGACTCCGATAAGCCTTTGTATTTTGTACTGTTTAAATTTTTATTGTTGTTTTAAACTATGTCTGTGTGTACAAAATCACGAATGAATAAATAATGTTGCCAACAAAAAAGTAGAAGTATGTGCTGTATCTTGTATACAATATATGTAACAGGAAAACTACTACCGCCTTAATATAAAACGTAGACTGAGTTAAATCAGGGCTAAAACTGATGCTGCCACTTTTGCTTGATAAAAAGAAGACTGAGACAACATTAGGTTTACACCAAGATTGGAATAAGACGGCTACAGTAATGCTGTAGTTCAATATTATATTCAATAAAGCCGGATACTCTTAGCGTCTGTAACTGTAACCGTTGCATGCACTGTAACCAAAAAGTATGTACGTGGTTCGCTAACCTGCTGCGAGCGGTACCGGTAAAATGGTCCTACTTTGCTCCAATATTTGCTCCAAAAAAGCGAATTATGAATATTGTTTACACTATTAATTATGAAATATATTCCTATTTATTAATTTAAAGAATATTATGCTATCTAACATATTTTTAAAGTTAAATCAACGTAATGAAGTATTTCATAATATATATAAAACTATGGGCATATTCCACAAACAATCTCAATTGTAGAAGCTTTTTGAGTAAAGTTATGCTTTCCTTAATCAAACTATGCTCCAGTAATATTACACTTTACCTTTTTTGATAGAATCAATGGTCGAAAAATGGGTAAAAATTAAGATAAATCGTGTTTTGAAAGAAATGATGTTATATTCTAAAATTTAGTTACAAAATCATTTTGTTTCATTAGTTTTTTTATATTCTTAATTTATCATAGGTACTACTATCTTAAATTTATATTTGATGCCATTGCATCTGCTGTTCTTTTGTTTTCGTACACTCTGTTTATATTGGGGTGCTAATTTTGCCAATTTGACAATAATCATGTAGGTAGGTATCAGAACTACAAATATATTTCATAATAGTTGACATAGTTTTATGATTTTGTTTAAGTATTATTACAAGTGTAGATATAAAAGTATAAAGGCCCAATAATGTGATAGTTTGTTTGATATAAAACAGACGACGACCAATAGACAAAGACCGACCCTGCACAGGAGCAATCATGGAGATTAGAGAGAAGGAGAACGATCGCTGTAGAAAAGAGTGTCCCACAAATATGGACAAAATAAGTGAGGCGCTGCGTTCGCTAAGTTGTCTTAATAAAAGCGGGCTAATTTGAAATGGCCAATGCCGCTTAGAAAATTTGAACATTATTCAACTAACTTCATCTACTTGTACTCATAAACAGCTAACTTCACAGATACTACTTACGGGTGCGCGGCTGGTGGCTGTAAAATGAACTATAATATTATATAAATTTTCAGGGACAGGCGGGCTAATGCTAGTACGTAGCTCCTTCTCTCTAACCTCCATGGTAGCAATATTATATACAAAAATGTCTATCGCGAAAGTTTATTTGTTTGTGGTTTGGCTCAAGAAGTTTCCGCCACCTATATTTACTAGGCAAATAACAAGTTCAGTGCTTAGATTCCACTTATTTTATGTTTAAAAGATTGTTCCTGGGTATTCGTTTAGATAGTTACTCACCTAAATTGATAGCTAAATTCAAACAGTATTGTTATTTTCATTGTAAGAAAATGAAATCTTATTATTGTTAAGACTTTTATCAATATACAGAAACACTTTTGACAGTTTTGTACTTTTATAATAAATAAAGTGTTAATAGAAATTAAGTTTTTCTTTATATCAAATATAAATGGTTTAATGGTTTTATCGTGATTGCGCTGGTACGGTGCTGGGTGCTGAAAGTTTGTGGGTCTGGCCAATGACAATAAAATAATAAAAATTGTAGATTGTTTACTAAGGGACAAAATAATTATTTTAATAGCGAGGGTGTTTTTTCAGAGCGCTTCGATTGATTCTAGCCTGAGGTTTAATATGGGAGGGATTCAAAGTGAGCTTTAATATACTTTCGCTCCCGAGTGGAAACTCCACTTTTTATCACCCCTTAGAAAAAACAAGTAAAAGAGTAATTAATAAAAACGTGTTTAAAACTCCTCTCCCTCTGGAGCCTCTAGACCACTCGGATCTGAGGGGGTCGGGTCAACTAGAGGGTGTCTTTGAGAGTCGAACCGCGGCTCTAGTTAGCTGTTGTCGTGGGGGGGCGGGGAAAAACGCCCAGATAAGTACCTGTACCTGGTATAACGTGTCGTGTGTAGATCGGGTCTTGGCACTCTTATTCTACGGGTGCGGTGTCTGCCTAATGCTAAGGTAGTGTGCAGGTATGCTAGCTGTGTAGTGTTTGTGTTTGTGGCCTGTGTGGGGGAAAGTAGGAGGCGCATTGGCACCCTTTGTTCCCAACGAGTCACACTGTAACCTGTTACACTGTGACTCTTTGGGACAACTTAGTAAAATAATTCCCAACCAGTCACACATGTGACATGTTGGGAGACCTTTCTTAAAATAATTCCCAACCAGTCACACTACAATACAATACAATACACAATTCTTTATTGAAAACACCACAGTATAGTACATAAATGGGGTAAATACATTATGTTTAAACATAGTGATTCAATGGGCGGTCTTATCGCTAAAAGCGATTTCTTCCAGACAACCTTTGGATGGAGAGGATTGAAAGAAACTGGAATCGGTGGTGTTATAAAAAAAATAAAAATAAAAACAAGGGATATAAAAATGTATATAACTATATATTTTAAATATATGTACATACCATACATACATAATATATACACATAATATAACTATAAGATATATACATATAATACAAATATATGACACATACATACATAGACTACACATATATAAGTGTATCGTTAGACCAATCTACTCTTAGGTGTTGGTAATGTTACGTCTGTATGTATGTCTGAGGTGTATGTTACGTCTTAGCTCTAATTCACTAAATAATCAGCTACACTACTCCTCTTTGCTGTAATAAAAGGAAGGCAACATTTTTCCTATTATTGCTTACTATCATGAATTTTGGTGCTTAATTCTTACATATGAAATTAGCGTTTTGTCGTACTGACCATTTTGATCTGAAATATTTCCTCTTTGGTTAAGAATTCCAAATTCAAATTGAACAATTCATTTAACTGGTACATTTGAGTTCTGAAAACAGTCATGCATTTGGTTTTTTCCTCATTATTTTTTTCTTTGGCGTCGCTTATTACCGCCCTATGGCAAACATGAAATATCGGTATATTTACAAGTACTAGTTATACCGTGGCACCAATGCTGCAGAAACAGCTCAAAGGATTAATGATGTGTACGGCGCTGGTGTCGCAAAAGAAAGCACGGTACGTTTTTGGTTTCAACGTTTTCGTTTTGGAAATTTCGATCTTCAGAACCAACCCCGTGGACGGCCGGAGACCAAAGTGGCAAATGAAGAATTAAAGGCTATTGTGGAAGCGGATCCATCACAAAGCACTTCAGAGATAGCTGCAGGCTTCGGGGTAAGTGACAAAACTGTATTAATCCACTTGAAGCAAATCGGGAAAGTAAAAAAACTAGAACGGATTCTCGAACGGAACCTCATCAACCTCAACAATTGAGTGAATAGAACTTGAAAACACGCGTCGACTGCTGTGTTACTTGTTCAACCGACAAAAATAATGATGGGATTTTAAATCGAAACATTACTTGTGATGAAAAGTGGATACTGTACGATAATCGGAAGCGCTCGTCGCAATGGCTGAACCCTGGAGACCCAGCCACATCCTGCCCTAAACGAAAATTGACTCAGAAAAAGTTACTTGTGAATGT